TATTTTTTGTGATTGTCCACGGTTATTCTCTACTTCTGGTCGTGCTGTCAAAAATGTGTTAATCAGAAAAGTTTAGAACACAAAAAAGACAACAAATATCTATGCATATATATGTGTGTGTATGTATGTATACATATAATTTCAAAACTACTTGTATATACTGTATATATATGTGTATATATATAAATACACACACATATACAGTATATATAAGTAATTTAGAAATTACGACTATTACGAAGCCTCCTCCCAGGCATAAGCTAGATTCTGTAAATTGCAACAAAAAAATCGAATTACTTACACAAAAAGAAAAGCATCAAATTTTGAGCACCTCTTCTAAGAGACGTCTGATTATTGAAAGAATATCCTGAATTGTAAGGAATCTGACAATACTCATGGCTGTGGTGACAAGACGTCAGCAGAAAGAAAACTAATTTCCAGGAGTAACGTGGTCACCGAAAAATATCCCAGCATAATTTGCATATTTGGGGAAGAGGGTTACATTTGTAAAAAGAGAGCATCCATCATGACGTCTCAGCCAAAAGAAAATTTACAATTATTAATGACGATATTGCATTCATGAAAGGCGTCACAAATGAGTCTGTGTCACGTGATCAAATACGGCATTAGACGTTGACTGCAAACGGACTGCGCGCTACCGGACATGCGGAGGGCGTGGATCCCCCCGGCTCTGGGGAGCTCACCGAGGAGGGCAGCTCACGGCTGCTCGTACAGCGACCCCCCGGCACGGCAGCACAGCCACCGCGCCCGCGCGCGCGCCACCGAACAGGCGGGCAAGCAGCGGCGCCTCGTCCCGGGGCCCCGTCGGCGCGCGGCGTCAGCGCGACACCCGGGAGCCGCGAGGGGCAAGGGCGCTCAGCCCCCCGACAACCGCCATTATTCGCCCCCGAGTCTTTGCCTACACTTACCTTTTCTCTTAATGCCTCACCAATACTTAAAATTATCTTTTTTAATGAGAAGCTCCTTTAATGGAATTTCGAGCTTCAGAGAGAGAAGCGCACACCGACACAGACACGAGAGGCAGCCCCGCTCTGCCGCGTGCCCCCTGCCGGCGCCACCGAGGAGAGCCCCTCGCGCCACTCTGCTCTGTCTTCTTGGTGGAAACGAAAGCGTGGACGAATGCCCGCAGTCGGCCCAGTTCTCCTGCGCTTGCTCAAAGCCAACTGGGTAACAATCGCCCGGCGGCTGGCCCGGGCAGACCCTGACTGCGGGGCCAGGCGCACCCGCTCCGCAGGCAAACCAGCCCACACACTCAGCGTTGACGCTGTAACTGCACGGTCAGTCTTAGTTTCATCCTCAACACAGACGAAGGGAAACTCTGGACATGCATTACTGGGAGCCCAGTAAAAGGAATCTGAGGCCCTTGTGAAGGCACCCTGAATTTTAACACTATCGGAAGGCGGTACTGGCCTCACCACAGGCCCCTGAGAACAGTTTCCAGGCACGACAAATCGGGGGGGGGGGAGGGGGGACAAGCCCCTCTGTCTGGCTTCACGGAACAATCATAGTGAATAGAGGAAATAATCTAACCTCAAAGTACTTTCCAGGATCAAGGGCCAAAGACATAATTTCTTTATATAAGATCAGAAACTAAATATTGTCCTAGAGATCTTCCACCGAGAGGGTATAATTTGAACCCTGTAAAGTCTTTTCTTTTTCCTGTAATTTCAAGACTCCATTCCCTCCCTGTTCTTTAGCCATAAACCACCCCCTCCCCCAGACTATTCAAACTCCCCTTGTTGAATCCTGGTCTCCTCATTAATTCCGCTTCAAAAGAGTGTCCCTGCACCCCCAGGTGCACGCAGACTAAGCCAAGGTGCGTTTGTGTGAATACACGGTCTCTTTTCCAGCATTATTGCCAAGCAACAAGCCACGTATCCTTACGCCACAACAATAAAACCTTACTTACTCTTACTTAGTTTCACATAATTTTCATGTGTCACACAGTATTACTATTCTTAATTTTTTCCAACCATTCCTGGCTCGTGAGTCATAAAAAAACAGACAGTGGGAGGGACTGGCCCATGGCCTTAATTTATTGACCTCTGATTTAGATTTAAAACAAGAACACCCCTTGACTGATTAAGTCATATTTTACATAAAATCCTATTGCTATGTGACCTGGGCCTCTTTTTCTCTCTCTTTTTAAATTTAAAATGTTATGTTTTTCTCTTAATTTATTACACTTAATTCATTGCAAGTATTTCCTTGTGTCTGACTTCGGTCAAATGATTATTCACCTGATAAGGGAGCTATTTACCTAAATATTGAAGAGTTTACATGTTGTATAATGTTCTACTCTCAAGGACAACTTGTCTAGAATGTCTGGGTGTTATAATTTTCTTAATACTGGACATTTTATTCCAGAATCATAGGACCTATTTCTCACAGCTTCCAATATCTTAGGTATATGAGTGATTTATTGAAACCAAAAAAAAAAAATAAGTTGGCAGAATAACTGAAACATGCTTAGGGGCAGACGAGATGAATATTACTGTCAATGCCTTTGTGCTAACCGTATTTCTCTAAAGGAGTAAGCAAGCCAAACTTGTGCATGAAAGTAAAGACTGAGTAATGGTGAGTTATGAGAAAACTGGAATAAATATGAATGGGTAGGAGAAGAGTATTTGTGGAATGATAAATAAGGACATCTTCCCCTTAGAGAAATGAGCCCAGACAGAGGATTTCCAAGGAGCTGGTATATGTAGTTACTTCGGTTGGGGCTCTTTGCTGAGCAGCCCTCTGTCCTCTATTGGTTGACGTGTACGGATATCATTCAAATTTTTGTAGGTAAAACAGAGGGCACCAGGCACCAGTATTTGGTTTACAAGGAGCTGAATCTACAGTATTTTTGTTCTATTTTCTAAGCTTGTCAGCAATACCACGACCTACTGTCTGGGTTTCCACTGGCACAACCAGAAAGAGTCATGTGGAAATTATGCAGATATTTAGGTAAGAAAAGTATGAACTATCTGGGTTTTCTTCTTTCAATTTTCATTTTTTAAAACGAGAGAGTGTGAGAGTGTGTGTGTGTGTACTTTTTAATGGAGGTACTGGGGATTGAACCCAGGATCTCGTGCATGCTAAGCAAAGGCTCTACCACTAAGCTATACCCCCTCTCCTTCCCTCTTCTTTCAATCTTCAGAAGAATATGCCTTCTCTTAGGAGACCACGTTTGCCCCTGTGCTGCCATTCATCAGAACAACACTGGAGTTTTTCGTTGTATTACATCTGGAACTAACAGACGCAGCAGCTGCACAGAACACACACCACACACACACGCTAAGATGGAATGAACCGTGAGAACACAAAGCAGACTTCCTGTTGTCTCCTCTACCTACTAAATAAATACGTTCATGGCTCCCACTTCCATTTTTATGGCTGAAAACTGAATGGAAGTTAAATGCCTTGTAAGCCTATTTTCTACACACTATTTGATTGTTTGCAATGTAAACTAATCCATTTTCAGGCTTGCTGGTAAAAAATAAGGTTGTAAACTTGTACTTTGAGCTTGTACAATTCATTTCAATGATGTATAGTATGATTTTAGAAGAATGATTTTCAACGTGCTTCACACAAGCACAGTCAATGTTTCACCCCCTTACTAGGATCACATAAGAACACACAGGCCTTAATTTGCACCCAAAAAGTGACTAAAACAGACACAGCCATTTCTGAAGAAGGGGGGGCTGATACTGTGATTCCATGAAAATTAAGAAAGTAAACAGCAAACATGGGGTTTGCATTTCCAGTTCTCCCTTAAAAAAAAAAAGCACTACTTACAATAGCCAAGACGTGGAAGTAACTCAAACGTCCACTGACAGATGAATGAAAAAAGATGTGGTGTACTGTGACCTGACTACACGTCGATTAAAAAGAAGATCTGAGATATACATATATCTCACACACACACACACACACACACACACACACACACACACACACACACACACACACAATGAAATACTACTCAACCATGAAAAAGAACGAAATAATGTCATCTGCAGCAACATGGGTGGATCTAGAGATTATCATACTATGCAAAGTAGGTCAAAGAAAGACAAATATCATATCACTTATATGTGGGATCTAGAAACAAAAATGATAAAAAACGAACTTACTTACAAACGAGAAACAGACACACCGACATAGAAAACAAACTGTGGTTACCAAAGGGGAAAGGGGTGATGGGGGAGGGATAAATAAGGAGTTTGGGACTAACATATACATACTAATATATATAAAACAGATAAAAAACAAGGCCCTACTGTAGAGCACAGGGAACTATATTCAGTATTTTGCAATAACCTATAATGGAAACGAATCTGAAAAAGCATATAAATTGTATAACTGAATCACCGTATTGTACACCTGTGAGTGAAACTAACACAACATTGTAACTCAACTATATTTCAATGAAATTAAAAAACAAAAATCTGTTAAGGCCAAAAAAAAAAAAGCAGATAATTAAGACTTCAGTTGTTACTACTACATACTGTTCACCAAGTCTTTGGCAGTATCTGTGTTTTTAAGTACAGAATAAAGCCATGTGTCACTGGAGCAAGGGGAGAGTCTTCGTTCTTTGTCCTGGTGACAGAGAACACACTTGAGAAGGTTTTACATTACATCCGCCTGGTGTACTGTGGCAGTTGGTCCATTCAATTCATAGTTTCTTGTTTTAAAGATAACTAGGGCCTTACAAACTATGCAGAAACAATGTCTCATGCTAGTCTTTAAAAAAGAGAAAAAGAGTAAGAAAAAAAACACAAAAAACAAGGATCCTATATGTTAAATGAAGGAATGAGCACTTGCTCTGAAAAGGAAGTAACAAAAATTTGAAAATGAAGACGCCTCAGAGTAAAACTTGGGCCCCACGTGCTCACCCAGGGAAAGGTCTGTGGACTTCCACATCCATCAGGAAAGAGCAGAGGAGGTTAAGTGCCACCAACTTCACTCTAGAAGGAAACGTTTGTACTTACATCTTGTCTTGGCCAGCTCCAACTCTGAGTGTCAATCTGGGGATAACTGGGCTCGGGGCTGGGACCACTGGCTCCACTTTTATCTGTTGAAGTTATTACATTACAGTCAGATACACTTTTCTCAATAAAAGTACCCCCTCCCTTTCCTCCTCCTTTCTCTACAAACTCAACAAGCTTTTAAGTTTCAAATGTGGTTACCAGGCTGTATGCAGGGATAAGCTGGGCTATTCTGTTCTTGTTTCTCAACAACCGAAGGCCTCCTGCATCGTGAGAAATTCCCCAAACTTTAACCACTTTAATAAATATGGGAGTTTTTCTGTGTTTTCTTAGTTCTGATTAATTCCTTGGATTTTATTGTTGGAATTTTTAAACAAAAATTACTACCTAGGTCATTCGGTGGGAACATTTAAGTAATTGCCAGACTTAACATACACAGAAAACAATGCAGTGATATCTTCACTACGAGATAAATATATCTGTTTATGGGTCTTAACGACATTAAGCTCCTCTTCAGTTTACATTGTCATATAAGGAGTTGACACACGAAATGTAATTCCAGCATTAAACTGTTCCATTTTTTTGGCTAGTAGAAAAAATGATCTGAAATACTGTAAAAGAAAAAACATTTTTTTAAAGAAAGGACTGATGGTGGAGGCCATGAACACTGAATAAGGCGACAATCTCACAAATCTCTGAGCTAATAACCAGAAAGGGAATATACCACGAAAGCATGATGTTAAAAGGGTTCTTCACAATTTTCTGGCTTGAAAATCCTCGACAGTACAATCAATATTTTGAATGAACAAAAGCTCTGTCATTCAAATTATTCTCTACATCAGGTTTTCCACAGGGGTTTTATTGGCATTTTTGGAGGGACAGTTCTTTGTTGAATGTGACTGTCCCAGGCACTGCCAGATGGATGACATCCCTGGTCTCAGGGTATTACTCTATGCCAGCAGGATTCCTCTAGTCACTGTGACAGCTAGTGCAAACTACTAATTTATATATTTCAAGCTCAACAATTAAATCATAATGGAATACAGCAGTGGTTCTCAGGGGGAATAAATTTATAACATAATGCTCAGTATTATTACATCGTGTAATTAATATATTGCACATTGATTAAATCTATTATTTTTTCATGTGTTTTCACCTGTCCCCTTCTTGAATTTTTTTTAACCCACTGTCACACCAATATCCATGACTTCGATCACTCTCTCGAACAGGAGGTACTCAGCCAACATCTGCTGAATAAACCACTCACTTATCTTGTAAGCCTCTCGGTCATTTCACCCTTTGTCCAGGATCAATCTAAAACCAGCCTCCGGAGCGCTGAGCCATTCCAAGGAAAATTTTAAAACCACCAAACCTCTGCCATCAAAAGTCCAACGTCATCTCTGCCGTCAGGACCCTGTCTGGATTACCACCAGCCAGACTAAAGAGAGCAGGGACTGTTCCGTCTCTTGCTGTTTCCCAGTGCCTATCACAGGGTCTGACACACTAAGTGCTTACGATACATTTTAGAAATTCATCGGAAGCAATGATTTCAAACGTCTACATCTTGGAAGACCCAGCCCATGATTTCCTTTCCTCTTTTGCTCTTCAAACTCCACAGGAAAAAAGCATTGAGGCTACTAGCCAGCCAATACCTTCCACCCTTACGACCTCTCTGCACCACAGTTAGACTTGAGTCCCTCTCCAGCCTTCTAGAGAAACTTCCTCCTTATTTGTAGCAGCTTCAACTTCTCAGTTCCATTCATTACTGTCATCTAGCTTTCAAATGTGCTCAACTCCATCTTTAAAAAAAAATCACCTCCCCTTCTACCTCTGGAGGACCACCTCTCACATTCGCTTGTCTGCACCTCTGTCTCATTTATCGTTCATTCCTCAACCAACTCCAATCTGTCCTCTGGCCCAACCAGGCCACTCAACCTACTCTTTCTGGACACTAATTACTTCCTGATGTCCCAGTCTGTCCCACTGAGGTCTGAATCATGCTCCTTCTCGGTCCTGAACAGGGTCCTCTTCTTCGCCTGGCCTTACATGGCCCTCCAGTCTCATCATCACCCACTTTCTTCAGCGATCTCATCCACGCCCACGGTTTCCGTCGTGACTTTTAAATACACCGTGTCTTCAGAGTCTCCCCTTCTAGGATAGCACTGATTAGAACTCAGACCAAAACATTAGGCTGCCTACTGAACATTTTCAATGAAACATCCTGTAAGTACTTCATCTCATCTAAACCGTAACTTACCAACTTCCCCACAAAAACCTGCTCCTCTAAATGGTCTCCCTTTGGGCAGATGTCTCCTTCGTTGGCCCAATTCTTAGTCCAGTGGTTTTCCTTAAGGCCTTGGGGGTCAAGGGTCCCTTGGGTGGGGGCACAGCAAGACTCATGGGAACCTTTTGTGTTCACTTTCTCTTTCTTTTTAAACACAGGGTTCCATATCTAAACAAATCTGAAAACCCAGTGGTCCAGTCTATTTTGTAAACTATTAAGGCTTCTATATATTTTTCTCACCTTTCTGTGTTATCTATGAGGAAAATAAACAAAAGTATCCCGAACAAACAAACATTTATAAAACAATGTTTGCCAGGCACCAAGTCTGGTTATTTTTCAGATCCTCTCACTGAGGTTTTTTCTAACAAACATGTAGGGCAGGCAAGGTGGTTTCCATCCTACAGGGAAACTGACCATACATGAAGCAACCATTTTTCTTTTCTTTTCTGTTTCCTTTTCCTTTTCTGCTTTAAGGTCACAAAAATAGCAAAACTAGGATTCAATACAGTTTTGCTTTCATTCAGAGAATGAAAAATTACATAAAGTTCCTACATTTCTTCAATTCTAAAAAAATTTGGGGTCACACACTCCTAAGTGATGAGGTATTGGGAGTAACAGTCCATACTCCTTCAACCCACAATACTATTACTGAATTATACTTAAAGAACCCTTTCTTAAGCTTTATTTAAAAATAAAGCTGTTTGCCCTACCTTTAAAAAAAATACTTCTTTACTATTCTTATGCTTCACATTGTATTTTGGTCCATTTTTATTGCCATGCTACACAATAATTATAACTCACTTGCATAGCACCTCACAGACGTGGCCCAACGGCGTGATCCAATCTGACCTTTACAACTCTAGAATGTAGGTGTGGAAGGTATTATCAGCCACATGTACTGAGGGCTCCGGAAGGTTAAGTGGTTTGGCCAGAGTTACAAAGGTAGTAAGTAAATGATCAAAATTCCGGTCTCCTGACACCACATGTACCCTCTGTCCTACCATACTACTCCGGGACTGCCACACATCCTGAGTCCTCTTTCTTCTGGTAACGCTGATGTCTCACATGGAGCTACTCAGTTTCGCTGTCAATGTCTTTTGTGATGAATGACATGGATTTGTGAGATGGCTAGGGCTGATTGTAAGATAGACAGATAGATAGATAGATAGATAGATAGATAGACACACATATTTTTTTTCCCTCTATGGAAAACTATTTTATATGGAAATTTAGATTAACATTGGCCTCCCCTCCATTCAACTAAACTGGCTGAGTTTTTGATGCTGACTTACACAGCTTGGCAGGGCAAAAGAATCAAGACATGGGCTGTTTATGACCTACTATTAAAAAAAGTTAAATGATACTAAGTGTGAAAATTTAAGCAAACAAAAATGGAGAGATATAAGTCACATTAAAAATTTACTGTTGTAAATATCTGTTGATATTTAGTAAAAATTATTGAATGAATGAATGATTCAGAACCTGTTATCTCAGCTCTGATCTCAGAGTCTGACCTGTGATTAGGGTCTTTGAGAGTGAAGATGGGAGCTATCATTTACACTAGGTAACAGGTGTAAACTGGATTGTCCCAGGCAAACCACGACATATGGTAACTCTCCCTAAACATTCTTAAATACTTTCATTTCATTCTTAAAGAAGTTAAATCTGATTTAACATATAGACAGAATGCAAGCAAGTGTCGAAAAAGATGAATAAGGATGCTAATAATGTAGACACAGAAAGAAGAATTTCTAAATAAGAATTTCTTACCAGACTTTTAAGTTAACTTTATCGGAATGCCTACCAAAATAAAAACACGGGGACATTCCCTACAATCATGAAATAATTTCTCACATGTCCGTCCCAGAAACAATAAACTAGATGACAAATAGGACAACTACTTAGACAGTATGACTAACGCCACGAAGCCAAAATCTGGGGACAACGTGAGCTCGTAAGGGTTAAAATAAAAGAACGGTCCTTAGAGTGATGCTGAGAATTGGGGTGTGCAGAAGAGCATTTACAGTGGATTACTAAGCTTCCCAATTCACCAAAGAGGCAAAGTCCAGTAATGCAAGCCTCCTTTGTAGCTAACTAAAAATACATTGTCAGTGGATTTGTCCAGTTTTATGTATAAGCAATACTTTTTTCACCTGAACTAATGCTAGTAGTCATATAAGCCCCTTATTGCCACGTGCTGCATTTTTTTGCTAATCTTCAAGGATTTAGCTTCTTTGCCACATACCTCAGGGCACCAACTGATAAAGCACTAACTCTCCATTTTTCCAGGACACCAGCAGTGCGGCCTTGCAAAAAATGAAAATCGCTCAAGAGATTTAAAGGGGAAATTTATTTTTAAAATCCTGACTTGAAGCAAAGAGGTGGATTTTTAAAAAGCTTATCTATAAAGAATCAGTTTAAATTTAAATTCTATCTTGGAACTCTTTCATGCATTCCAGCTTTAAAGTTTATCTTCTGACAGGGGCTTCCTGCAAAGGTAATGGGCGGCTTTGTCAGTATAATCTGGCCAAGTTTTATTTCCTCTCTCTTTTTTTTTTTAATGTTAAACTTCTTTCATTAAAAAAAAAAAAACTCTATGTGTGTGCTAGGCAGGGTAGCAGCAACTCAGCCGGTGCTACTGCAGATCCCCATCGATGCTAGCATCAGAAAAATGTCCAGAAAGAGCATTGGTGAAAAGCTGAATTTAATAACCAAACATTTTAGATGCTGACATATGACAACTGGGAACCAACCTGTCATCTTTCTTAACATTTAAGGTCTTTACATGATTTCCATTCAGAAACACAATGTAACCAACATGATAAACTGTTTAAAATATTAAACAGAGAGAAGACCTACAGTTGTGGTCCGCATAACGAGTGGGACCCCCATGAGGACAATGAACCAGGGCTCGGGCTCTCAGCACAGGCCCAGTTCATTCATCAGAAGCCCTGGGGATGGCCTTCGGGAAACTTCCATAAATTCAAACGTACTCATTTAAACACTAAGCTACTGGCTTCCTCTTGGAACAGACAGTTATGAGAATCAAAAAGGGAAGATCTCCCCCTTCTTCCTGGGTTATTTTATTTACTAAAAACTCTCCATTTCACTAGTTAATCATGACAGCTGGTGAGAAACGGCTGGAAACCAGACAACACTACTGTAAACAGAAAGACGACAGAAATCTTTTGTCAAAGCACCAGCCAGTAAGACCACTTCTCATTCTCTAAAAAACAAACTGTTTAAGTTCAATAAAAGACTATTTGGGGCAAATGCCAAGGGGTTTGGGACTGGAGAAGCATGAGACATTTCAATTGTCCTGATGCCTGAAATCCTTCAAGCTTCAAGGACCACCACGGCCTATCCCTTACAATCCAGCAGCTGAACAGGCGCTGTCTGGTCTCTTCAGGGACTGAAGTTTCCTAAAATCACGATGTCCCCTCACCGTAGACTGTGAAACCTTCTCATCCCCTCGTCAGCTCCCATCGTGGGCCTGAGAAGCCCGTGAATGAAGAAAGGGCAATAAAGGACACGGGCTTCAATCAGACAGGCCTGGGTTGTGTCACAGCTCGTCTGTGAGTTACTCAAGCTCTCTGTGCGCTCTTCTCAACTGTGACAAAGGAGCAGCAGCCCCCGGACCCATGGTGCCCTCGGCCAGGCCGGCAAGGACCGCGTGTGCGTGCTCAGTCAGCCTGACACCCTTCCCTCTCCGGCTGGTTCACGCAGTAGCCAGTGTTACCGCAAATAAAACCACCCACCAGTCCACAGGAGAAGACCTGGGGGGCCCCACTGCAGGAGGAATGAGCTTTCTGTGAACAGAGCTCAGTTATCCGTGGGTTGATTATCAGCGTTCTTGGTTATTGTAAGGAAACGCTGACTGTCACAGCCATCTATGAAATGACACTCAGTGTTTCCTGAGAAGGCAGAAGAGAACTTTTAAGTTCAAACATTCTTAGAACAGCTATGAAACTACCGTTTTTAAACAGAGATGAACCATACTTTCCAAGGATGCAGTCTCCTCCTGGTAGTGAACGGGAGGAAGAGACAGTGAACGAGGCCGCAGGTGAGGCCCGGGGAGGCTGGTGGACAACGAAAGACCGGCAGAGCTGGGGCTCAAACCAGGTGGTCTGGCTGCTGAAGCCCAGGCTCCGTGTGGCCCTCTCCCGGGCCTTTCTATCTGGTTGGTGGTGTCATCGTTTGGGGGTGACACTCTGCTGTGCCTTCTCGTACTCAAGAGCACAAAGACGTATTTCCAAGTCTGACGGATGGATTTGGGCTTTTCTTCTATATAAGGTCATATGAACCTTCAGTTCCACTAACATTTGAGACATTTTCTTATTTATTTTTAAACTGAAAATACCAAGAGTAAATTTCAATTAAAGCAGTCCTATAACATTCATTCCAGTCTCAAAACTTTAAACAGGTGGAAGATCAGACGCCTAACCCTGACTAATGCACATTTCTGCCCATAAAGGGGAACTAAAAGGCCGTGTAAATCACCCTAATTTGGATTATTACCACCGCTAGAAAAATGATTTTTCCTTCTGATGTTGCATCACTGAGCCAGGTGCCCTGCATAAATCATTTCACTTAATCTATTTTTAATTTAAATGTTGGAAAGGGTAGTGGTTAAGAACATACAGGAGCTGATGGCCTTAGCTGAAACTGCAGCTCCTAGGAGTCAATCACTTATTAGGGGTGTGACCTTGGACAAATTTGTTAATCTCACTAAGCCTTAGTTTCTTATCTTAAAGTGGCAATAAATTACAGTATCTACCCAACAGCACTGTGAGAAGGAACTAAACTTATACATAGTGGTTAGCATCTAGCCAATACTCAATAAATGACTACTGTTTGTGGTTTTTAAAAAAGTCTTATCATCTCCTACTTTAAAGATGAAGGATCTAAGGATCAAGGAAACACCCTCCTCTGATCTGCCTGCTTCCAGAGCCCAAGCCTCTGTCCACCCACCAGGCAGATTCCCATTTAATTAGTGGTATCTTTGTTGGTTCTTGTATTGGTAAATATGGGTATTCCTGGTAAAAACTTTACAGGTAGGGAAAAGAAGTGTGGAAAGTTGGGTTTTTTCCCCATTAAAAACCAATGCCCTTGCCTGCTGATCGGGGTCAGTGAGCCATGGAAGTTGCTCCTGTGGGTCAGTCAGGAGGAGCCGGAGGGAGGAAGCGGTGGGCCCTGCTCTTCCAACTGCAGGCGCTTCCCTGGGGCCGCTTAGGCAGGCCTTGTTTTGGTTTGCACTCAACCATCTTACTTCCGTGGAAATGTACGGCAGTCTCAGAGCCCGTGCAGCCCAGCTGCAGGAGCACTTCATTCACACATCTGGCTCTGTGCTTAGGGAGACTAACTGGGGCTGGAAGGAGGAGGAGTCGCTGTTTGAGTTAATATCTCAATTTCTACTCCATGTCAGTGGCGTGCCAGAGGTTACACTACATTCATCCTTTACGAGCTGCATAAAGGGCTCAGATTGAAAAGGATGCCAAGGAAGCAGAAATAACCTTTACACACTGTCGCCACAGCTGACTCAGCCTGGCACACACAGGTCAGTCACCAGGGTCCAATGAGGTAGCAAACGCTACGTAGGTTTCTATGGTTTATGGGTTGATTCACACCGGAATCATAACCCGTCATCCTTCTTTACTGAGCACTTACTTACACGCCAGCAACAGTCCTACGCAGGTCTCAGGTGTGATCTCATTTAATTCTCACATAAGCCACCTGCCCATGTTCACAGGGCTGAAAAAGTCAGGACAGGTTCAACACAGGCTTAACTCTAGAGACAACACTGTCTGTCATTTGTAAAGTCCTGATGGCTGACTTGTATACGTTTTTATCCTTTGTCATTAATCTGATCCATAACCAACGAAACGGATACAAGGCCTGGTTCTTCCGTTAGGTGAAATCCGTGTGACTTACAACCAAGCCTTTGCCTCTGACTGAGACAGTCGGAGGGGCCCGTCTTTCCCAAAGTCAGGGAGACCCTGAGGAAAGGCACGGACAGCTGTTACCATCTAACCTGACGGGCTTTACTCAACATTCGTCATGGCCACTGAAACAACTCCACTGACTTTCCAAAGGTGAGATGGTGATGAAGGTAGCAGAGCTCTGTCTGACTGGCTGAGGGCTCAGCTGCCGAGTTACCAGGTACCTGACGGATAAGAGGCTGACAGCTGCCAGGCAAGACTGCTAGCAAGAAACCCTTCAGAACAGGAAGTCAGTCCGTGTGTAAATGACCCGGCTCCTGCGGGCTGTGGGACCCTGATCTTGGACAAGTCACTCAGGCTGTTTCTCCTCTGTAATGCTGATAACAACACTGTTGGACCCACGTCACGGGTGTGTCAGGAGGAGAAACTAGGGGATGTGGAAGCTGTTTAAAATCTTCCAGGTACTATGGAAAAATAACGTAATGATAAAATGACTTCAAAAGGGAAAAAAGAGTGTAATTTCTGTGTCTTGTTAACTTGTGACGTTCAGTTATTCGTAGGAGGATTCCCACTTGACTTCCTTCTATTTTAGAAGAATAGCCAAGGGGGACGAAGAATAAGGTTAGGCAGAGAAATGTGAGACTGGCTGGCCATCTCTGCTTGTCGCCAGACTAATTTTTCCAGTTAAGCCTGAAATTAAAAACACTGCAGAAGTACCGATATGAGAGCTGCTGCAGGTCAAACATGGCACATTTTATTATGTGGAATGTGCATTGGGTATTAGCCTGGAGCCAGCCTCTGAGAGGGGGCTTCCCGAGGGCAGGAGAGGATCTGAAGGTCTGTATGCAAGGCACCATGAACACTTAGATGCTTTTTAAGAAAGTTTAAAAGGAATTTTCAAATCAACCAGCCAACCACTGTATCCAAAGAACTGGGGATGGAGGGCAAAGCTGTAAAAGCTGAGGTCACACCCAAAGGACCGAGGTCCTGGTTTCTAGAAAACCGCAGGCTGTACATTCGCTTCTCCGGCTAGGTTTGACAGAAGCCTGATTTACTTATGAGGTAAAATACCTGGAATTATTTTCTACCCACCCACCAGGCTGCCAGATCTGCCGGATACTCAGAAACATGTCCTAATCTTATTAAAGCAGAAAACAGAAGGATGAGAGATGCCACAGAAAGTGGCAGACAGGCATAACCATAAATACGTGCAAAAATGGCTCCCTGAAAAGAAAGCTGAGGCGGCGAGGAGCCCGGGGGCCCGGCGGTCCTTAGAACAGCGCCTTGGTTCTGCACGCCCTCAGAAAAAAGGATGCGTCTTTGCTGGGTATCTAACATCTGGGTGAAAAACAGTCTGCAGGAGACTTGATAATTACAAAAGTATTATTCACAGTGGAAGACTACAGATCTCTTAAAACTGCCAGAGATGAGTGTGGCTAATGGAGAGGCGACAGTCTGACTCCATCAGGCTACGAATTTTTAACGTTTCCCAGTGTACGGGGGCGGAGGACGAGTTTACGGGTTAGGGTTAACCTTAAATTGGGCCAGCACCTTACAAACCTGCTTGCGGTTACGCTGCGGGCGACTGACGTGGGAAACAGCCAGCCGGCCACGGGCTACGACCCCGCGCCTCAACAGGACTCGGGGCCGCCCGGCCCCCGAGGGCAAAGCGCTTACTTTTTCGTGCTTGTGTTTCTCCTTCTCTTTCTCCCTCTTCTCCCGCTCTCGCTTCTCCTTCTCCCGCTCCTTCTCTTTCTTCTCCTTCTCCCTCTCCTTCTTCTTCTTCTTCTCCTTTTTGTCCTTTTTCCGCTCCTTCTCCTTGGGCCGCTCCTTCTCTTCGA